GGGGTGGGGGGGTAGGGAGCGTAGGGCCAGCAGAGCACATCTGAGATGGCACCCGGCCCCTGCGCTCTTCCAAGGCAGGCGCTTTAGTCCGCTGGGCTATCAGGCAGGCCCTCTCTCTCCTTATTGAGTAAAGTACTTTTCTAAGCCGTCAAACACAGAAACTCAAGTATGCATGCTTAAAACGCCCACGAAATATAGAACAAAAGAACAAAAAATAGCTGCGAAGGAATTCATAACTAGTAGCCTAATGTAGCCCTCAGATGTATGCCTCCACCGAGGCTGACATTTCTGAACAGTCACAAAATTGGACTTGAAATGAATCCCTGGCAGCTTGGGTTAGCCTAGCAGGTAGGCCAAGCTTCAGCCCCTTTCCCCTCATTGGCTGCTTTGCTCCTTCTGTGTAGCAATGCTCCCATAATCCCCTGCAACCGGCCTCTTCCTTCCTCAGCTGCACGGGCTTTCCCAAGCCTCTCACCAGCCTATCCTGGGCAATATGCTGGGTCTGCATTCCTGGGTCAGTGAGCCTCCCTGGAACCACCTCATTGCTCCCAACAGTCAACCATTTTCACCATAATTAAGTTACCCCGTCTCCCCTTTGTCTAGGAAGTCTTGGGCTCTTACTGTCTTTCTCCTGGAGCCTGGGGTCCCAGGGGGGCCCGGCCAGCCTCTTCTGCCCTGTCAAAGGAACAGACAGATGAGGGAGACAATTACACAGTATTGACACTGTTCCTACTTCAACATCAGCTTGAGCTCTGGGGAAGACACAGTTGAGTTTGTGCCACTGACAGATCTCTCCCTTTGAAAAGTGCCATGAACCTCCCCTGATCATAAGTCACACCTGTATGTGGGCCGTGAGAAACAGCAGGACAAAACACCAGCAGTGTGGCTTCAGCTCTTCTTTATCATTGTCTAACTTGTGTTTGGGGGATGTATCACAGAGTACTCTTGCCCAACTGTCCCCACCGTGGGGCCCTGGTGTAGCATGCTATGTGTCAGAAATGACTACACCTTGTTTGGATTTCTGCTTTTGAATTTCTTTTGTGGCTAACTTGCGTACGTTAACACCATACTGCGGATAAATCTCAAAATACTTGTAAGTATTCTCAAGCAGCAGAAGTATGGAATAATTTGCAACTCTGGAACGTACAAATATGGAGTTCTTACCCTGTGCTGCATATGAGAAAACTGAGGTTTGTACGGAGTGGCCCCGGGCCATAACGCTGGTGAGGCATGGAGCCCGAGTCAGGGCCTAGGCCTAGCTCCAAGTTCTTCCTACCGTGGAAGACTCCTTCCCTACATGAAATTATCATCATGCAGAGCCAGAAAAACACATTTTTCAGATAATCCTTTTACTTCAAATCCTAAAAAACAGGTTAAAATGAGCAAATTGTGACCTGTAAGATTATGTCAAGAGCTCAATATCAAGAGATTAGCCTTGAGGGTACGGGCATTTGGATCTAGAAGCTTTCTTTTTAACATATTAAGACTATGTCTTTTTAGGGACTGTGTCCTACACAAACTGAGAAGGCCAAGAATTTCTTTTGGTTAGCACTGCTTCCTTTGTTTTTAAAGTCAGCTGATCTACCATTTTAAGTTAGAATTTAGATGCTTTTATTCATGAATAAAAACCTCAAGCATGTGGTTTAGTAAAGCAAGTCTCCCCAATTAAAAAGAGAACATGTTCTGAGTCCAGAGTAGTAGATAAGCAGAAGTGAAAGAACTTCTTGCTCTTAACAATAGTTTCCTTTTACCAAATAGAGTCACTCTGATTCCAAATTCTTTATCAGATATTTCTTATTTTGTTACTAAGAACTTGGGCCTCATAGTCACAGCATCACTTGAGAAGTTTGCTTTCAAGCACCCACATAATTACCTGTCTTCCATGTTCTCCGTTCAAGCCCTTAGGTCCTTGTATGCTATTGCCAAATCCAGGAATCCCCTAAAAAGGAAAAAGAAAAACAGGGTTTGAATAGCCCACCTTAAAAATGTAATTTGTGTCTAATGTGTTTAACTATCCCTCAAAACTCCGACAGGACAGAGCAGAAATAAGTTGCAAGTGCAAGTGGCTCACACATATTTTCTTTTTCTCCTCTGCCTGGCATCTGCACAATGATGAGAATGGAGTTTAGGTAAGAGTGGGGTAGGGGCGCAGAGCTCAGCGTAGGGAACGCGGCTAAGGGAAAAGCAAGTGCGGCATGACTGCTGGGATGGTATTTTGTATCCAGGCCCTGGAGCTGCCCCTTCTTGCTACTGTCCCCCATCCTCCTCGTTTCTCCACATTTCCTCAGGGTCTGGGCACATTTACTTTTGAGACCAGGTAGATTGTACTTTCCTGTTCGGTGGGGAGAAAACCAGCACTGAGGATGATTCTACCACAGTAACATGAGCATGCTGCACAACTCTGGGGATTAGCATCTCTTGATATCAATGGGATATTTGGATTATTTATTTATTTATTTATTTATTGCGGTACCAGGGATTGAACTCAGGGCCTTGCACTTGCCAGGCAGGGGCTTATTCTACTAAGCTATCTCTCTGGCCCTTGATGGGGTATTTGGAATATTAATATATCAATCTCTTGATAGCGAGCTCATGGAATCTTACATGCCACACTTTACTCATACTTCCTGCCATAGCTCTCTGTCTCTTCCTGGACACCTGGCTGTCCCCATACACTTTCCCCATATGCTTGCCCCCTATGTTTACAGTTTTCAGGGAATTCTGGAATCCTGAATTTTCTCAATGCCTATGCAAATGTTCCAGGAGAAACTGAAAAGAGGAACATGCTGGGGGATGTTATTCTTAGCAGGCCAGCTTGAAAGCCTTCCAGCTTGAGTGTAAGGACCACAGACAGAGCTGCGACTCCAGGGCACTGAGAAAATCATTTGAGGCAGTCAATTCAGTCAATGCTCCTATGAATTAAGAGGAGGCACCATTTATTTGGGCCTGCTGAGTGCCACCTGCCAGGCTGTTCTGCTGATCTAGCTCAGATTACCTTCATCAATCAATAAGTAATTTGCAATCACCAACAGACACAGAATTGTTCCAGATACTTAGTAAGCTTTTAAGCAAACGGCTTTTGCACTTAAATAAACTTGGAATTTTTCTGTATGAGTCATATTACTCAAGTGTATATGAACATTATATCTTTCCTTTTGGATGAAAGTCTGAAATTACTTTCTACATTTTAATTCCACCTTAAGCTTAAATATTTCCCTCTGAAGGACTCTAAGAAGGGTATACCTGGAGTAAATACCAATTAGATTTTTGTGAAAAAGGCAAACAACTAAAATGAAGGTAAAAAATAAAATAAAATAAAGGTAAAGTCTAAACTTTTATTCTATTGAATATATTAGTTCTTTCTCAATCTTAAAACATTTGATTGGAGATAACATAAAAAACCATATATCAGCATATTTTACAATTGAAACTAATTTAAATTGCATGTAGATAAACTGGTCAATGTGAGTTATAAACAGGTTTATGCTTCTTTCTTTCTTTCTTTTCTTTTCTTTTTTTCTTTTTTTTGTGGGGGCAGAACCAGGGATTGAACTCAGGCCCTTGCACTTGCCAGGGGAGCATTTATTCCACTGAGCCATCTCCCTGGCTCCCATGTATTTCTTATAATCTATGCAACTAGACAAAAAGTCATTTAATGCAGATTCATGATTAAACATGATTTCTAACACTGATTCTGTCAAAAGATGAAGCTTCCTAGCCTGTGTGGATCAAATACATGATTTTGCTAGATTCTCCAATGCTAATTTACATGGGAAAAGAAAAGGGAAGTCTGGAACAGTCAAACAAGCTTCTGTACGATCAGAAATTCTAACTGAATAAGCTTTGATTTTTAGGATTTGGGCCATTTTCATGCATTCCTATGAATAATCCAATCATATGTGTGTTCTATTTATTCTGTCATCTGCTCTCCCAAATTTTTCTTGAAATAGCAACCCTCTAAAACCACACATAGAAAACAGAATTGTTTTAAATTTGAGATGCATATTCCTAAGTGGGTGGGAAGAATATTGAAAAAAATCTATAATTTATATAGTTGATAAACAACACACCATATACTTTTTTTTTTTTTTGGCAGAACCAGGACTTGAACTCAGACCCTTGCGCTTGCCAGGGAAGCGCTTATTCCACTGAGCCATCTCCCCGGCCCCCTCCATACACATTTTAATAGGTTGAATTTTCAGCCATCTTGAAGTCATATATAATTTCTTTTGAGATCAAAAAATCATTTTATGTTATTCAGGTTCTTTTACAAATGTTACATAATCACATTTTATGGCAGATAATTAGGGGGAATTCTCATCAAAGTCAATGAAAATTGTATATCAATACCTCAAGTGAATTCATGCTTTTTATTTTTCAGGCTGAAATGTCTGCTTATTTGTACAACTATTTCATAACTACTCTTATTGTGAATAATTTTTGTTTTTAAATTAGATACTTAGAAGTTATTTGAAAACTCCCAATTCAGAAGACTGTTATCAGAGGTCGCTCACTAAGCAATGTTTTCTTCAAGTGCAACTTCTCTACATTTTAAATAAAGCTGTTGCTAGTGAATACATAGTACTTACATTTGTCAACATATATTGTACTAACTCATTTCTTGGACTGATATATTATACAATGAAGGCATATCTACTAAAGAAGATGTCCTGTAAGATTTCCAGTCATCCCACAACCTCATCAGCACTTGGTATTGTCAGTTTTGATGAACTATAGCCATCCTAATTGGTATGTAGCCTTATAACCATTGTATATTGAGAAGGAATTATGAATCAAGCTTTTTTGAGAGGAGTTTGACTGTAAAGACTTAAGTTGAAAGTAGGCATATGTGTCTTGATGAAGAACTTCTGCTCCTAAAGTATGTACCCAATAAAACGTGTACAAAATCCACTAATGACATATAAAATAATATTAGTAACAGCACTGTCTTTAGCAACAACTAGACACAACCCAAATATCAAAAAAATAGCAGAATGGGGCCAGTGAGATAGCTCAGAAGACTAAGTAACTGCTTGGGCAAGTACAGAGACAGGGGTTCCATCCCCGGTATCACATGCCATACCATCCACACCCCTGGGCGAGGTGAGCTGGCCACTGGGTCCCCATGTGGTGACACATGCCTGTAATCGCAGCACTGAGGAAGCTGAGAATAGGAGGATCACTATGAATCTAAGCTGCATAGTGAGACCCTGTACCAAATACATTTAAAAAATAGCAAAATGGATAAATAAATCATGTTATAGTCACATGATGGACTACAACAGCACATGTGATGCTCACAAGCATAAAGTTAAGCAGAAAAGGCCAGGAAAATAGGAGCACATGGTAAGAGATTCATCAAAAGTTTAAGAATGGTAGATATAATCTATGCTGCTAGAATAGTGATCATCTCAGGGAAGGCGAATTAGGCTGGACATGAAGGAGGCTTCTGGGACAAAGGTATGTTTTATTTTTTGTCTAGGTGGCTGATCAAGGCACGTGCAGTTGTAAATAATTCTGATGTATGTTACAGTTCAACAAAAAGTTCAGTAAACTTTACAAAGAAACCAAAATCATAATTCTTTAAAGTTTTGGAGGCTTATTTAAGTGTGTGCATGGTGATTAAAATCCTATAGCACAGTGATGCTCTAGACCTGGCATATTCCCCACTGGTGGGGTCTAGTGTGAATCACACATATTCTACTGGGTTTTTGTCTCTGGGAAAGGATGGATCTTTCTGACATAAATTTTGCCTTAAAAGTCCTCCATGGATCCTTGGATTTAGAGAAATGAGGCTGATAGTCTCAAAGGAGACAAACTCTTAGAGAAGAGGGGAGGAAAGAAGGAGTTGGTTTTGTTTTCCATCCTGCCCATGTGCTAAAGTCCTCAGAAGGAAGCAAAGGGGATGGAGTAGAATTTACCCATCACATCACAGCATAAGAATGATTCTAATGATAAAGCCACTGCCAAATCAGATTCAAAGGGGAAAACGGAATGCTTTTCTTCTAAAATCAGGAACAAGACAAGAAGTCCACTATCACCACTCTTCTTCAGTATAGTACTTGAGACATTAGCCAGAGAAATGAGGCAAGAAAAAGAAATAAAAGGAATATATATAGTGTTGGGAGCTGTGGCAGCTAGGAAATTGATCACACGTGTGTATGTAGGACTAGACCTCAGTGCTTAAAGAAGAAAACGGCGACAAAAATAAAAAAAAGATGGACAAAAAGACAAAAGCTGGGCTAGGTGGTCACAAGTCTTCCTGATAGGGAAGACTAACACATGTGACACAATGTTGCCTAGTGACTACTAGCTAACCTTAACCAGACAGGATGTTCATCTCAGGACCGAGGTACCTTGTTTGCTTTAGGCACTGAGACCTAGTCCCACTTACACACATTTGATCAATTTCCTAGCTTTTGAGGCTCCTAACATATTAGGAAAAGAAGAAGTCCAATTATCGGGGCTGGGCAGATAACTTGGCGGTATAAGCACCTCTCTGGAAAGCTCCAGGTCCTAAGTTTGATCTCCAGTACCACATGCCATGATGGCCCCAGAGATTCGGGTGCACTGCGCCAACCCTGGAACTGGGGGTGGTGGCACATGACTGTAATCCCAGCATTAAGGAGGGTGAGACAAGAGAATCACTACAAGTCCAAGCTGTGTAGCAAGACCCTGTGTTAAAATAATGAAAATAAAACACAGAAAAAAATTTAAAAAGAAGTCTAATTACATTATGTGTAAATGGGTTTATATATAAGATCCAAAAGATTCCACCAAAAAACTCCTAGAACTAATAAGCTACAAAATCAATACACAGAAACGACAGTGTTCCTGGATAGCAGTAATGGACTCACTGAGAAAGAAATTAGGAAAATAATACATTCACAATAGCGCTTAGACAGATCAAATACTTAGGAATTAACTAAGAAAGTGAAAGGTGTCTACTTGACAGGCAGAACCAATATTGTCAAGTGCCCGTGATCCCCAAACTGGTACACAGGTTTAATGCAGCCCCAATCAAAATACCAATAGCATTCCTCACAGAAACGCGGAAAACCATCTGAAAACTCATGCGGAACCAGAAGAGAACCTGAATATCAGAAACAATCCTGAGTAAAAGAGTAAAATTGGAGGCACGACAATTCCAGACTTCAGGTTATACTACAATGCTACACTGATAAAAATAGCATAGTACTGATAAAAGAAACAGATATGGATCCCTGGAACAGAAGAATGATGCAGAAACAACTCCATACATATTCTGCTGCAAAATTACTGATAACAGCTAGAAATACATGCTAGAGGACAGATAGCTTCCTTAACAACTGATTCTGGGGAAAATGGCTATCTAGATGCTGAAGACTGGCTCTAAACCCATATCTCTCACCATGTTCTAAACTAAAATAGAAATTGATCAAAGCTCTAAATGTTGTAACAGAAACAATATGCTGGAAGATAAAAATAGATAAACCTCTTGAAAACATAGGTGTAAGGCAAGGTCTTCTGAACAGAGCCCAGTTGCACAAAAAAGTAACATTGAGAATGAACAAATCAAATAAAGAGTTGAAAAGTT